TCGAAGTGAATGTGTTGTTGGTGAATTTGATAGTCTTAAATGAGAAAGCCACTTGACAACTAAGAATTCATGTCAAAGCCCAAGATCATCTTCCAAACAAGTTATACTTCTACCTAGACATATATATTATTTTTAAACACGCATGCCTATGTAGGTATAACTTATTATCCATATCCACAAATAATGTATCTGTGAGTAAAAATCTATCTCTAAGTATATGAACCAACACATGATAACACTTATTTGATGTATGCATAAAGACGATTACTCATACATATATAGATTTACCCATACATTAAACAGATCAATTATTGTTGTATTACTTGTCTCTATTGGGCCAAAGTTTTACCCATATCATAATTTGTTATGAAATGACCAAAATGTCCTTGTAAGTTCTTTATGGTAGTTTGATCATGTATAACACACTGATCCTGAATAATATTGCCAACACATATAATGTTGCAACATAACCAAGTTGTATGTGGATGTTTTAGTTGGTAGCCTGACCATGCATAACATAGTTTGCTATGTTAAAGGGTATATTGAATAATTTCTTCTTTATTCAGGTTTTAATTAATTTTTTGCGGGAGACGAAGGTAAATCGAAGACTATTGAATCGAAATTGATTTCAGACCAATCTATGTTCAAATTCGGTTTTTGGTTTAGTCGGAGACCAAACGAATTGTGAATTTGGTTTTTGGTTCGACTTTCGGTCTCATGAAGTTTAAGCCAAATTGAACCAAAAAAAAAAAAGACGAATTTCATAAATTAATTAATTAAAAAATATATTTTATATTTTATATTTAATAAAAATGTTAATTATAAAGTAAAAATTATTTTAGCCCATTTATTCTTTGGATCTTTTTGTATGAAACTTTAGATCTTTTTTGTTTGCAACTTTAGATTTCTATTTAAAAAACATTTAAATTTATGTTTGAAAAAGTGCAATACTATTTTTTTTAAGTTAATATTTGATTTCCTTGGTTTTCAAACCGAACCAAACCAAATTCAAATTCGGTTTTCGATTTGGTTTAGAGAATTTCAATTCAATTTCGTTCGGTTTTTGAATTGGACCAAAAAAATTCAAACCGAGGAAACTGAAAAACCTATAAACCTAAGTACCTAACCGATTCTCACCCCTAATTATAGTTTAGGTTAGGCCAAGAGCCCATTTTGTATTTCTATTTAATTATTTATACGAGGTTAAATATTTATTATAAGATATCAAAGCACTATATAAAATAACATGATATCACAACTTTAGATTAAAAACCCTACTATTGACCACAAGTCCACAACCCACAGCCATCGTCCTTCACCTCCGACGACCTTCTCTGATAGTCGTCAGAGGTGCCTTCATTATGTTTAATATTTTTTTTCCTTTCTTCTTTCTACTCTTAATAATAATACAACCACTGACACAAACCATAGTTCCTCCTCGGATGGCCCCTGCCTCTAGCCTTCTGTCTCATCCTCAAATCGCACCTCTCATCGACTTGCCTCTTCTTCTTAGGATCCCTTTTCAAGTTAGCCATCTTCCAATGTTGTTGTTGCCTCCCTCCGATGGCGCCTTCGCCTTCTCCGCTGGACAACCTCTAATCTACAACCATCTCTCTCTCTCTCTCTCTCTCTCTCTCTCTCTCTCTCTCTCTCTCTCTCTCTCTCTCTATATATATATATATATATATATATATATATATATATATATATATATATATATATATATATATATATCAACAATGCAGTCATCGATTTCGTCGAAATTTGCTCCATCCACCGTAGATCGAGTCTTCTTTCTTTCTCGTTGACTTTCTTCGGACTCCTCTGCCTCTAATTCCATGATCGTCTCCACTGGCGCTACTTCTACAACAGAGCCACCTCTGGTTGCCACTTCTTTTTCGACAGGTAGTCGTTGTTAGCCGTAATCGGCATAACTATGTCACCGTAGTTGCCGATGTCGTCATTTATGTTTTTATGTTTTTATGTTTTGTTCTTTTGTTTATTATTTTTAGTTTAACCGTCTTCTTCCGATCAAATTGCGGGGATGTTAGTAATTAGGGTTAGACTAATAACCATTAGAGTTTAGGTTAGACCAAAAGCCCAATTTGCATTCCTATTTATATGACCTTAACAATCTATAAAATAACATTAACTTTTTATTTAGACTAGAAAACGTGAAATTTTCTCATCTTTCTTTGTTAATCTAGAAAGTGTCAAATTCTCTCATCTTTCTTTTGTTAATTTCTTACGAATTATCAGATGATTGATTAGTTTTTGTAATGGTATTTAAATAGTATTAAATTCAAAAACACATATCTAATATTTTAATAATTAAATTATATTTTTATATATTAAAAAGCTTTTATATCATTATTACTGTTATTATTGTTGTTTTGAATTAAACCATAGTCTAAAAAACACCACTTGTTCGCCTTTTTTTTACCACCATTTTCTTCACATCCGTTCTTTTTCCTAAAGATTTTGAATGATCACATGGTTTTCTTCCAAAAAAATAAAAAATAAATAAATAAATAAATAATCAATAACGTTGATCATCTTTGCTTCTCATATATCAAATATCTTTCTTCCAAAAATGGACCAAATAGCTCGGCGAGCTCTTCATATTCCCGTAATTTTCTTCCAAGAACTTCAAAGTGTGCATATCCGTTTTAATTTATTTGTGTTCCCTTAAATTTATAGTATACACCCTATGAGTTTTATAAATACTAAAATTAGTTTTCCACAATCTGAAATCTGTTTCATTATATGAAAATCACTACTACAACCACATTATCAATATCAAATTACAACCATTGTTATCGTAAGGGCAACATTGACATTGAACATTAGTGAGTATTTACCAAAATGCCATAATGTTATTTTTAGACCCTGTACGTTTTGGGATTAAAAGAAAGTTATAGTAGTTGGGCCCACCTACAGTTTCTTCACATTGAAAACTGATTTTGCAATCTTTAGGTATTATTTTCAAATATACATAGTATGGGAAATATCAATTTAAAATACCATACTTATGAAAAAAATAATAATAATAATAATAACTCATACAAATGCATGATATATCCCTTAGACATACCCTGTGCGTCTCACTATACTGACTTCCAACTATATCCAGTTCAAATGAACAACCTTTTATAACACAAAGTACACACAACCTAGCATGTTTCTGACTACAAAATTACAAAACTTAACTTCAGTTATAAAGTAGCCAATCAAATTGCCATCATCTACAGTTATATGTATGACTATGCACCAAAGTACAATTTTTTGTTGCACAAAGCACATAAAGCATCATGTTTTGTGTGTGTAAATAAAATTATAAAAGCAACTACCACAAGGTTTCACTCTATAGACTTGGTTAAAATCCTATAACTTACCAATGTTTGCATATAGGTGTTTCTCTCTGGAATATTTAGTTATTTACATAAGATGAGTTATGAACTGTAAGTTATTGTAATTATTTCAATAAAATATATATTTTTTATAGGTAAAAAGTCAAACGTAAAAATAGGTTGTGCCTCAAATAGAAATTTGTATTTGTAATGCTTCAGAAAGTTATAAACACATATCACATTCTTTTACTTGCAACAAGTATATATGAATTTAAATATTTTTATAAATTTAAAATCAGTATAATTTTAATGTAACACCTGTAAATTGAAGTTAAAAGTTTTGACATTTTAAACATAAGAATGACGTTTTTATGATACCATAAGGGGTTTAGTGAATTTAAGTGATGGAAGTGACATTTTTGTAATTCAGTAAAAGTGATCAGTGTCAAGGTTTATTTAAGTATTGAAGTTATATTTTTAATAAATTTTATAGAATTGATGGTATTTAAATCTTTTAAACTAAAAGAATTCTAAGAAATATGAAACTTGGGCACTTTGGTATTGAGAATTATGGCATAATATTGGGTTATATTTTGATAAGATGATTGTATAGATGTTATTAAACTTTATTCAATTAATTTACGACTAAGGGTTGTGTATTGTCATTTAGCATTTAGTAAAGCCTCAGTAATTATTTCCTTATATCAAACCAAAATTATAATTACTTATATCACGCTAAGATTAACTTTATCTTTTTATGTCATAGCCTTATTTCATCTACCAAACAGATTATATGTATTGATCTTAAACACACATCTATGATCTATTCCCACAAATAAGCGCATGTGTGCATAAAGATCGATCTCTACATGCGTAAGCTAACAAATAGTAACATTTTTTATGTGTTTGTAATGACAATTACTCCCACATATCATACACCCCAATCTATTCTAATTGTATTATTTGTATCTATTGGTCCAAAGTCTTACCCATAAGGCTACATCATACTTAATTTGGAGTTTTTGTCCATAGTAGGGTTATAGACAAAACTATTTCCCATTCTAGTATACATTTAAAACTATTTACCTTTTTAGTATTTTTTTTCATTTTTGTTTAATTTTTCAGCTTTTCTTAATGTTTTTTTATTTTAAATATATCCAACTTTTCTCCATTTCTTTTTTATTTCACATTTTTACTGTTTTTCTAAATAATAATTTTTTTTCAAACTTTTAGTGTTTTTTTAAATAAAAATTTATATTTATATTTTTTATTTTTGTTTTTTATTTTAAATATCTATTTTTTTACATACAATTTTTTAGCCATCATAAAATTAAACATACAATATATTTTAAGATGTAAAAACTCCAACATTACAAACAAAATGTTTTTAAGGTAAAAAACACTCAACATTGTTTGATACAAAAAAAAAACACCACAATTAAAAAAAACTCCAATATTGTTTGTTACAAAAAGAGAAAAACACCACAATTAAAAAAAAAACTCCAATATTGGTTGTTACAAAAAGAAAAACATCACAATTAACTTGAACTTGAGCCGGTAACAGATCATTACCTGTAAAAACGATTAAAAAAAATAAAATAAAATAAGAGAATAGCCACAACAATACCATAAAAAATATTATATGTTTAATTATCTTGGCTTAGACGGACACCGTTTTCGATTATGACCCGGTTGCCTACAAATTCCACAAAGAGTGGCATTTCTTCCTTCTTTAATATCCATACCATTTTTTAATCTTGTTGAACGAGGCCGACCTTTTTTATTCCGTAATAATTCTAAATTTGGAAGTAATGCATTAAATGGTGATTGTGGCCAATATGCTTCATGAGGAAGCGGGGAGAACTCAGATGCCCAAGTAGCACAATAATATACAATCGAGTAACATTTATCAACATATTGCCAACTATTCAAAGAGAGTTTGGCACATGCACTCAAGACATGAGAACAAGGATATTTAAATGCCTCCCACTTACCACATGTGCAAGTTTTTTGTTCCAAATTAACTACTTGCACATTTCGACCTCTTTGAGTTATCAACTCAAATATACCTTTTTCTCGATTAAAAGATCTCAAGGAATGTGCACTTGCTTTTGCCATCAAAGCTACTTGTTTTGCAATAACATGTGGAGTATGTGCATCTCCATTAGCTTGAGAACTAGATCCTAAAGGACGTCTCACCTCAAAATAATGCACCATTCTATAGAATGTAAGTTGCACACAAGCTGTGATTGGTAAAAAACGAGCACCTTTAAGTACACTATTGAAAATCTCTGACAAATTTGTTGTGAGTAACCCATATCTCCTGCCACCATCATATGCAAGTGTCCATCTATTAAGTGGATGGCTCTCCAACCAATGTCGAGCATGTGGATTTAGCTTTCCAATTTCTTCCATGATGGAGTTGAACTTTCGAATTTGATTCTGACTCCCGGCACGATAAGCTAAAGCTTTCAACTCTGAATTACGAAACTTGTCATAAAAGTTGTTGATGAAATGTCGTAAACAATACCTTTAAAATAAAAAAAATGTAAGTTAATGAGGCAAGTTATTGAAATATCATAAAGAATAATTAAGAAATATAATAATACCTATGAAAACCACGTGGCTCTAACCATGGAGATCCATGCTCATTGACAGCCTTAAGGATCCCCCCATGACGATCAGATATTAGACATATGCCTTCACGGTCTTTCACCACATGATTCTTGACATGAGAAAGAAACCAATTCCAAGTATCATAAGATTCATTTTCTACAATAGCAAATGCAAGTGGCAAAATCTGATTATTACCATCAACTCCCATTGCAATGAGCATCTTACCCGTGTACTTACCGTACAAGTGTGTACCATCAATGCTAATCACCGGTCGACAATAATGAAACCCTTTGATAGAGGGAGCAAAAGCCCAAAAAACACGCCTAAATTCAACTTCATCTACATCGGTTGATCTTGAAACACACCATTCAACAATAGTTCCTGGATTGAACTTTTGAAGTGCACCTAGATATTTTGGTAAAGCGACATAAGACTCTTCCCAATTTCCAAACACATGTTCAATTGCTTTTTGCTTTCCAACCCAAACCTTCTTATATGAAGGAGTATAGCCTAGTGTTTCAACTATTTCAACTCTCAAAGCAGGAATACTGATAGAAGGTTGTGCTTTTATAAGGTGCCTAGTTTCCATAGCAATCAAGCTTGCATCTAGGTTCGGATGATCTTGAGAAAGTTTATAGTGCAAACAAGTATGTGGACCGGTATAAGTTGTGATTTCAAAATATCCACTACGTTTACGTTTACTTGCATGAAGTTTCCATTTGCAACCAGATTGTAAGTATAACTTGCATCTTAGAGTCAAAATAGTTGGGCGTGAGTCAATGACCTCAAATTGTCTATGTGTCCTAATGCAATGGATCTTGATTGCTCTAACAAGTTCTTCTTTATCCTTGAAAGAATCTTTTCCCAACTCTCGTATGAAATCATTCTTACTCGTTGATTGCGACACAATCCAATTGTCATCAATATTCAAATTTGTTCCTTCCATATTAGTAAAAGTTGAAGGTACTTCAACATTGTTGTCAAAAGGTGCTTCTTCATCATTTTCCTCTCCAATTTCATCTTCCAAATTTTCATGTAACTCATTTTCATTGTTTATATTCATCATATTAGTTATAACAGCAGCTTGAGAGATTATAGATAAAAACTCCTTAATTTGTTATGAAATAACCAAAGTGTCCTAAATTCTTTATGGTAGTCTGACCATGTGTGGCACATACTGATTCAATTGGAATAAATTAACATGATGCTGAAATAGGAATAATATTTATCTTGCTAAATCATACTACGCACATACGTTTAAAATCACCAAATTACATTTGGATGTCTTAATTAGTCGGTAGTCTAGTCTAACCATGCAGTATTACAAGTATACAACCACACAAATGATCAATATAAATATCGACTCAAAACAAGGGTTACAGAAACCCCAAGGAGTGCTAATAATATTCCTATAACATTAACCACATTCGTTTCCACTTGACCAGGGTACAAGTGTAGAATGTCAGACTTCTTCATCAATCCCGTCCCAGCACTCAGTATCGCCAACCAAAATATCAGCAGGCCAGCTAAGCCATGGGATCGCCCAATTCCTGCTCCGATTGTAGCTGACTCAATCACAAAATCATCAAACCCTAAGATGAACTAGGGAAAAAATTAAAATAATAATGTGTTAGTGAAACAATTTGCTTGATTAATTAGTTGATTTTGCTTCGTATATATATGTAGAGAATGATTACCTGAAGACAAAATAACCAGATGGTTGAATAACCATACCACGAATGTAACGTGTACAAATGTGGTACTTGGAGTTGATAGTGATATTTGCATGCTGCATAAACACCACAAAGCCCAGTGACAAGTGCGATCGAATGCAATGTTAGGTGAACTCGTTTAAGTGCTTGTCTTGTTCCTCGAATCGCCTTGTATGCAATCATTGCTGATTCAAAGTAATTACAGAATATAATAATATAGCTAGACTCAAGCGGTAATTAATTTGGTTTTTTTTTTTTTTTTTTTTTTTTTTTTTACCTTCGGCTGAAAAGATAATGAATCCGAGTATCATGAGAAGTGGATGCCACTGCAAAATACAACAGTATATGAAAACTAGACTTAGAATAATGAAAATCTACATTAAGTGTGATAACTGGATAACTTTTAGTGTTGAATTACTTACGTTGAACATGAGATCTGTTGAAGGGTTGAAGAGACCAAAGCCATTCCTGAAGGTTATGAGCCAATAGATAACAAGGGAAGCGAGTGATATTGCTAACAAATGTGTAAGCAAACTCAAATACACTACTAGAAAACTAGGGCAATAGCTATGGCACAATCCGTATGTATTCCGTAGGTATAAGACAATAACTACGGATTTGCTACGGAAAATGGCTTGTAGCATAAATGCCCGTGGGAAATTTGTACCTACAGATTTGCTACGGACTAGCTACGGCCAATTCCATAGGTATAATACCTACAGATTAGCTACGGAAACGAATTGCTACGGAGTGCCTACGGATTACTGACGGGAGTCGAGTTTGACTAAAGTTAACTAGTTTCCTACGGAATAGCTACGGAAATACATAACTACAGATTTGCTACGGATTACTGACGAAGCCCACTTTGACTAACATTGACTTTATCACCTACGGATTTCCTACGGCTCACATTACCTACGGATTTTCCGTAGGTAATCCGTAGGTAATTACTTTTTATTTTTTCTAAAAAAAACAGCAAAAATTATAAAAAATCCAGTTTTTTCTGTCCAAAATATTAAAAAAAAAACATTACATTAAACTTATAATAATATTGAAATTCAACCACAAAACAAATAACCTTACAATAAAACTAATAAACCTAAAAAAATATCAAATACAAATACATATTACTAACATTGACTAATACTACATTAAATGTATCTAATAATACACATTAAAAGTGTCAACCACAAATGTTTAACTAAGTGTTTACAAACATAAAACTAAGAATTATTTTGGTGGATTACTCGGCAATTTACCGGGTGAGTTGAGTCGAGTCAATAAAGGCCGACCCGTGTTCTTCAATTTGAGTTTTGAATCAAATGCCGCCAATTGTTCCTGTTTAAAACACCATAATCAATGATCACAAAAAAATACAAACATAGCAATGTACCTTCAAGTATTTGTTTATTATGCCATAATTAGGAACATTTTTGAAAGTGACAAAATGAAAGTAGGATGTTATAATAAGCATGTATATCTTGCATTTAACTAGCTCAAAAATTAAAACACATTTCCTTCTAATTATCATGTTGTTGAATCACTACAATAACCGACTCATTAAAAAACCATAATTTGAAACTAAAAAAACATAATTTTAAACTAAAAATACATTTTACTAACCAAAAACATTACATTAAAACCACATTACAAATTGTAAATACAAATTGCCAATAAGGTTAGGTACACTATCAAATAGACAATCATTAACCTATCAAATGAAAGATACATAGGTTCATTAAATTAAGCAGTTTTGAAGTCTTGTTTACCATTTACATTAGTTCATCAATTAGAATACCTGGATAGATGGATAGTTCTACAAGTATTCTTTGGTGTAGTTATTTGAAGCAGCAAAGAGAAGCCCAAAAAACAGAATCTTGGTTTTAACTTTGCTATCCTCACACATATTTCGTTTGCCAATATCCAAAAAAACCTGTAGAATCCATGATATGAATAGTGAATGCTCTAATTTCCATCATTAATAAGAAAAAAGGTTCAAATCCATGACACGGACAAAATGACTTGTTTTTACAACATTTGACGTAATAACTAGAGTTTAGAGTAGAATCTCTCTTTCCAAACAGATAGTTTACATAGGGGAACTTTTATCAAACACATGGTGTGCACTGCATTATTCTGAAAATAAGGAAATTTGTGAGAGCAATAAACTTACGTTGGCAAACCCTTCAAGCTTTTATCTTACAGACAGATTGTCCCTGAAAAGCCTTGAAGCTTAAAGACTTGAAGAACCTAAACAACATGCTGGAAACCCATAACATTCTAAAGCTCCAATTACATTAAAATTTGATGATAGAGATAGTTGAACAATATTCACCTCAATTTTGTTGTCATAGATGAAATTCAGTATACAAACTGGAAAATTACCATTTCAGAAAAAAAAAATATACATAGAAATAGATAACAAAATAAATCTAGGGTTTCACTTTTGTTGGAGAAGAAATCGACCAAAGAGAAGAATGTCGGAGGAGGTGTGCTCCCGGAGACAATCGACTGACGGAGGATGCGCCTTGTGGAGAAGAAACGGACGT